GTACGTTACGTTTTTATTTCTTTTTATTGTACCGAAAACGATTAATTCTTTGAGTTCAGAAGACAGAGATACGATTTTATACGTTCGTGTTGACAGAGCACAAAAATGTTTATCGATCCAATTTTAGTTTAGTGCGTTTTAGTTGTTAAACACATATTCACATAAATTCTAGTATTGAATCACAGCACAACAATACATTATTAAATAAATTAACAACCTTACACGTCTTTGGATGATTTAGATATACAGACATATAAGCTATAACATACAAATGTTTACATTTAAATTTTTACTAAAATATCATATCGTGAAAATGTTTATTTAATTTTAAAATATCAAACAAAGATGTAATCATATCTAATATCAATAGTGATACATAATTTATTAAAATGTATGGAAACATGAATTATAAGATTCGCCAAAAAATATTATTATACTTGTTTATGATAAATATACTTTTACAAGATTTTTTTTTACTCTGAATGAGTAGGTGTAGTTAAAATTTAATAATATTTCTCGCTGTGATGTAGGTAGGTATAATATGATATGTTATGATATAATGTAATAAATTATCACACCCGTAGCTAACAGGCTACCGTAACTAAGCGAAGTAATTCTATTGTACTCGTGTTTATACAAGATGTATAAGGATGGATAATTTTTTACTTTCAAAGACACCGAGCAAACGAAAGTTAAATTGCTGGTAGGTACGTTACTTGCTAAACGACAGATCCAAAATCTTAGTGGACAGGAGAAAACATTAAACGAACGAGTAAATAAAATAAAATACACTTAGTTTTAATTCATTAAATTTCGGTATGCATACTATTATTCTATATCGTAAAAAAATATCATATTTTTCTCTTACAAAATATCAAAAACATCATCGGATTTTCGGAAAAGCAATTAAATTTAAAAAAAAAAAAACAGTCATTCTATTATTAAATCCCTTTGAATACGTTTAAATAGGTGCCCACGCAATGTTACGCTTGATGAGCACTACCCTTTTTGGTGGGCTAATAATAATCAAAATACAATTCGTTAGAATAAAATATATGAAAATTATAATAATAATAAATTGCATGACGCTTGACTATTATAAGAGATGTCCCCAACAGCGAAGTTAAAACTTTTTCGATTTAATAAAATTATAGTATATTTTTATTATTGTTATTATTACTATTGTTATTTTAAGGGAACCATGCGCTTGTTTTACCATAACCTATATCATATAATAATATGCAATATACAATTTGTCTATATTATATATATTTTGTCGTTTTTTTTTTTCCCACGCTCGATTCACATAACATAAATTTATTATAAACCGTGAAGTACACGATATACATACTATTCGTTTGATACTATATATTTCATACATTAGCTGTCGACTTAAAATATTTCAGGGCTGTCTTTTAGTATGAAGATTGAAGACTACCACAATTTTTCTATACTTGTATTTCTAAAAGAGTGAAAAAATATACTATAAAAAATGTTCAAATATGCATCTTTGTTAATAACTAGATAACAATAATTGTTTACCAAAATTAAAAAAAAAAAAAAAACATTGCGGAATTTAAAGTCAAAGATGGCCTTATAATAAATACTCATTGTTGAAAAACATATGTATAATTATAATATTTCATGTCCAACAAGAATTATATCTGAATATAAAATAATTATATAACATATTATACTATGATATATGATTATTTGGAAAAATATCGGTATAAAACTATAATAAAACTGTTGATAATATTAAGCTTGTGCAGTGTGAAATAATATTAATTTTTTTCTTATTTTTTAATTCTTTGAATTATTATTACATATCAGTGTAAACTGTGTGCTTTTAAAAAACATAATTTTATATTATTATATTTTAGAGTAGAAGAAAAATATACGTAGTATAACTGTTAAATAACAAGATTTTCCGTTTAAAAACTGTTTATCGATAGTTTTTAATAATTTATTTAAAAAATAATAATGTTTATTTACCGTTTATTCCTAGAACTTAAATTTAGTCATTTTTACAAACTTAATATCGAAAAAATACAATAATGATATAACTTATTGTGACTAAGTAGTAGTTAAATATGATCTATTGTAACTTTATGCACAGATTTTGGTGTTTTACTAGAAGTTTTTAATTAATATTCTACTCATACTTTTTTTGTCTAGCATAATTCACACGTAGAACTATAAATAGTCACTGATTATATAGGTATCGTTCGATTTAGTGATATAAAAATATTAAACGTTAAAAAAATAAAATAAACCAACATTATTTCCATATTTCCACACACTTTATCATTAGTTCAATACCATCGTTGTTAAATATTCATTCATCGTACAGCACAATATCATCCATTACACTTCTAATAATGTTTTGATATACCTCATTTTTGGGTGTATTTCGTGTCTCGTTTCTATTAATAATGGTCGTCTGAGACCGAACAGCTTAACGCGATTTAATATAACTATAAAAATAATAATAATAATAATACAGTCGACGTTTATTATGGCACGCAAGGGCTTGAAATATTCATGACTTATGATGCCACTGCAGTAATAATTAGTGGAAGCACTCGTCGTTTGATTCGCTCTTAGAGATAACGCTGACAGTCTAAACAATATTATCTATGACGTATTCATAAGTCATTTGTATTCGCCTCGATCGAGGATAAAACATTTTACCGCGTGCACCATAAGGTCATTAAGAACAGAGAACAAAATATTACAATTCATATCTGTACATTTTTTTGGTCATTACAGTAATAATACAACAATATAACTTCAATCACGCTCAATGTTATATTAATTGAGGTTGATTTTTTCAAGCATTCGGGTCTCTGATGAAATATATTAATATTATACGCTATAATATTGTTGTTATCAGTAACAGTTTTATTCATGTGACCGTTCAATATTTAAGTACATATATGTATACAGAGTGTCCCACGAGGATTTGTACTAATTTAAAGTGGTGGATTAATAGAGTGTTTGCATATCGTTACCCGGATCACATCAAAATCGTAAATCTTCGTGAGACTTGTGCTGTATATTATGCATACACGATATTATTATTATTTCGACTAAAATGTATAACTACAAACAAACAATGAAAAGCTGATACTACGAAACGCAATGCATTATATTATATTATATTATTATTATTATTATTATTATTATTATTATTATTATCATCATAATACATAGCTCTTCCACAACATCGCGTTGTTAATTAAACGAAGATTCGCAGAAATTTATCTTAGTGGAATTACTTTCATTGTTCAGATTTATGCTATAAACCTATCGAAAAAATCACAAAATGCATTTCACGCCAACGTTGTAACACGATATCATTGATATTGGTATTTTAATACATGCGTTTAGTGGATCCTTTCAGGAAAGTATTGCATTTTATAAGATACATGAATATGTATATTCACTTCCTGATTGTTACCTAGAAACAACTTTTAGTACATCAAGTGGTAATCTCTAGAACACTAACTTATTATACTTTGAAAGTCTCAAAATGTAATAAAGCTCTTGTTGTTTTAATATAACTGAACAACAGAATATTCAATATTTTAAAATTGAATTTTTCAAGTACGTTTCTGTTTTTAAACAAACAAAAACTACAAGATATGAATAAATTATTATAAGAGAACGTTATTTTTTTATGTATTATCTTCTCAAAACGAATATTTTCATACATTTAAAAAAGTTTATCGTTGGATTTAAAATTAAAATATCGAAAAAACTTACGGTAAACCCTAGATAATATTCTTATACCACACGGGTATGTATTACAGTAACTTGAATTTACTACGTTTAAAAATAAAAATAAATATTAAAATAATAAATTAATTGTTTTAGTTGCGAAAGTAGGTAATTAAAAAAAATATTAATCCAGTTGTTTTTTAAACTGCAAAAAAATTAATTTTTTTTTCGTCTCAAAACTTAATGAGATGTGTATTTTTTCATATCTCGTCAGTAAACGTACTTTTTCATTAACTGGAAATATTTTAACATAAATATTATACATATTATCTTAAAATTATAAAATATTATATAGTATTAGTATATAGTTTTAAAACAAATAATTTGTAATATAACTTTAACTGATGACATTTTAAAGAAATTTTATTAATTTCGATGAAATACTTATTGATTTATATAAAAAAAAAAAAACATATAATTTGAATATTTTGTTTTAAATTTATTCATAATATTATGCACAGTAAACTGTGTAGATTATAAATAAATTGCACCAGACTTTCAATTCATAAACCACGAAACATAAGATGGCGCCTGCTCATTTGACAAAACATGCAAAGAAACGAATGTTGTACGATTCAAATCATTTAATAATGAAACTATAATAATAATAAAAAAATAACTACTGAACTGCTGAAAAATATTTATTTATAAGTTATATTATATGAAATATTTTATTTACTCCCAACGATAAATATTGATAAATGTTTGTAGTTTTTTGTTTAGAAAACAAAAAAAAATTGTACAGACTTAGTTTGAAATATTTACTATAACATTATGTTTTTACATAATTATCTTAATTCACTATTTATGAATTAAATACCTAAAATTTTAAAATTAAAATCTGTTCTCTTAAGCAAATTCTACTTTTAAATTGTATATTAAAAAGTAGCTAATGTATGCAATAAAATAACTAATTTAGTATTTAACAAATTATTTTATTTTATTTATCTTAATCAGTTATAGATTAAATTTTTTTAAATGAAGAATATCAAATACTCTAATTCACTGTACAAATTACAAAGAAATAAAAACTAAAACAGTTTGTAATTTAAACATTAAGAAATTAAAAAAAAACTTTTTTTCAAAAAACTTATTATTTTTATAGGTTTGATACTATATCAATGGATTTATACATCCATGTGTAAAGAATATCTACTTATAATACAATATTATATTATAATATATGAACGTTATTACTTTTGATGTATCATTCACAGGTACCGGAACGTATCAAGGCGATGAATTCGAGCATTAAGCTGCTACTCATCCTCAGGGATCCTGTGATCAGGGCCATATCTGATTACACACAATTGCACAGCAATCCCTTGGCGAACCGTAGCAGTCGGTCATTCGAGCAGTTGGTGGTGAAATCAGATGGCACGGTCAACACTAACTATCGACCAGTGGCCGTGTCTACTTACCATAATCACGTTTACCGGTGGCTAGACGTGTTTCCTAGAGACCAGTTGTTTGTGGTCAACGGCGACCGGCTCATCACCAACCCCGTGTCCGAGCTGAACCGTATCGAAACGTTCCTGGGCCTCGAGCACAGAATCGGCGCCGACAACTTCTACTTCAACCGGACCAAGGGTTTCTATTGTTTGCGATACGGGCCTGTAGACAAGTGCCTCAAGGAAACCAAAGGTCGGAAACACCCGGAAATTCAGCCAGCCGTCGTGTCCAAACTCCGGGAACACTTTAGCCAACACAATCAGAAGCTATATGATGTATTAGGACAAGACTTTGGGTGGCCAGAGAAGTAACAAATAGTTTTAGTGGTGTTTTGAAGAAAGGGACGAATGCGTATGTCACAGTAACATCGTTTTTTTCTTAATGTTTTCTTTCTTTTGGAGTTTTGTATACAGGGATACTATATATTATATATTTATAACATTTTAAATATTACTATAACGTCACAACATGATGACATGTACTGACCGCGGCTTTATCGCGTGCCGAGCGCTTCGCTTCAGGTACTAGACTTAAAGTGTTTGCTCGATTTGTTCTGTTTTTCACATGAAATGAAACGTTTCAACACTGCCATGCTCATACTACCTGCATATACTGAGAGCAAGAAATAGCGAACGAAAGGAAGGGTAGGAAGTACGCCGAGCAAGCTTAAATAATTTTCCTTCAAAACTGTACCATATATTTACAAGACAGGATGAATCTTAATATTTCAGCAAAAAAATTTTGATATCACGATGATAATATTATTATTGTAGCGATTAAGGTGACCGATGAATCAGTTGGTTTCGGAAATGCTCGTAAGTAAACCACAACACTTAATCTGAAGTAGGTTCCTCATATAACCAACGATAACACGGAAATTAAAATTAAATTAATCGCGTTGGTTTATATTTTTTTTCTAAACTTTTTCCGTTTACAATACAATTATAATACTAATAAAATATTAAGTTAATCATAATATGGTACTTAAGTGACTGATAATTTTAAGCGCATGTGGTTTTTACTTTTTGTGCGCAATTCTGTTTATTCTACCATAACGCACGAATACAAATTACAGAAATAATATTTACAATTAAAATATAATGTTTATTATGCATTCAATTTTTCTTCCCATCGAGCAATGTCGTATCACTTAAATAAATTCAAACAATATGCTTGGTGCTCGATCGACTGACATATCTTTTCAACATTGCGGTCTAAAATATTTCCTCGTCATCTTTCGTTTAAATCTGCTATGAATCTTCGTTTTTCTACTACCAACATGAGTCGCGGATGTGATTTATCCGAAGTCAGTAATGAACATGAAACATATCAAACTAGATTTATTTTATATACCCTCAGTGGTCTCTGTAGCATAACACAAAATCAACCGACATATCAAATTATATTGTGAACACTAAATCAAAACATAGTAATCTCTCGTACACCTACGTGCAAGATAAGTTTGCTATCTTTTTTTTTTTTTTTTTGTTTCTTTTTAAGAATAATTTTCATTCTAAATATTATAAAATCTTTTAACACTAACATTTTTTATATAATTATTATTTTATATTTCATGATCGATTTACGATTAACCATCGACTAAATTCTCTGCTATTCTACTTTTCCCACAAACGCAATTACAACTATAAGCCATCAATTTAACATATTATATTATGTTTTTTCATTATACCCGTTTATTCGGACTATGTTTAAATTTTATAAATTATTATTGTCATAAAAGCACAACTACTAGAAACGATCTACAGATTAATCCATCGTACATTTCAGACGTGCAATATTTATAGATTGTTAATTATAATTATATAGTATCGTTAATTGACTGTCAAAGCTGTTACATGGTCAAAAAAAATTATCATTCCCAGTCACGATATAACCATGGAAAAACTCGTTTATTGAGTTGATTGCAGTCAGCGTGAAAAAAAAAAAAATCACTTTGCGTACCTTAATGCGTTTTAAATAGTACAAATGTATAGAAAACAAATATGTATATGTATATATATAATATACATGTTTCAAATATTATCCTCTGATCGTTACCAATAGATATAATATTATAATTCTCAAAGTTAAATCTATCTTATAGTAAATGAGGGGATCGAGGTATAATAATATTATCATAGTGCATTATTATTACCTACCTATTACTTTTACATATTTACAGTTTTCAATGAGCAATAGTAACTCTTTTCAAATGGTTGATTAATTATTTATTTACATATTGTTATAAATAGGAGAATGACTATGTTATGTTATAGTATTATTTAAATATGTATTTTGTTTGTTACAATTATTATTATTGTTCTAAAAAAAAAAAAACAACGATCATATCAATTATAGACTTTTTTCGTGTATTTAATAAGTCATTAATAATATTACATTTTAAGTAACTTAAAACATATCATTGTTTGCAACGTAGTATAATATTATTACTTTATCGTTAAGAGACAATTTTATATTGTATTTGTAACACGGAGATAAAAGTTGAAAGGATCTGTGTGTCACTTTTTCGTGGTCGTTACTAGTTATATCAATAATTCAATTGTGTTTATTGTTATGTTGTATACTGCTATACTTATATTAAAAAAATAATTAAATAATTTTTCTCATTTTACAACCAACGCGATTACGTCTTAAGCTTTATTGTTGTCACACAGAAATCCTAACGACACGTGGTCTTATCTATGTGTTTCGTAATTCGTGAAGGTTAGGTACCATGTATACATATCATATATTAATATTATACTGTACCATATTATACATATCATAATATAATATACCAATACTGAAAAACTATTTGTATTAAAAAACAATGTTTACCAAACAAATACATATCATTTTGATTAAGTAGCGTTTAATATTGTATAACTTTATTCTACTTGTATTTGATATACTTTTTTTTACTGTTTACCAATAATAATTTATTGTTAAGTCGAGATTATTGTATAGATAATTTTCTTAGAATTTCAATGTATATTTATAGTATCACTAGTGAATTGGAGAGCAATATTATGTATATTTATATATTATTATTTATTATTATATTATGACTATACTGGACAACTGCTATACAGATACCGAAAAAAAATATTATACCGCTCCATAATATTATACAATTAAATTAATGAAATTTACAAAAAAAAAATTTAGGTAAATTTTATTGAAATAAACACTAAATTATAGAGTGGATAAACAGTAGTGTGACTATATTATAGTATCTATTGATGAATCGACTTTTATACACGTCTTTTGTACATTCTAATTTAGCGATTGAGCAAACGCGCCATCATCTGAAACAAAAGTAGTCGAGCGTTGTAAATTTTACAGCATAACCTTACACTTATTAAATATTAATAATTGTCAGTAATAAAATAAACAATACGTTCAAAAAATCGTTTTTGTTTAAATTAATGTAATTATTAATTCAAAAATCTATTCGTCTTATAACATAAAAATTGTAATTTATTTTACAATTAGTCTTCAACAAGAGATCAATAAATTATTCAAAATTTCCATTGTTATCGTTATTAGAATATTGTTCACATATGATAACTTTTTTCGAATACATCGTGTGTAGAAATCTTATGCACTTGGTACACTTGATAGGTGTAGTCACACTTCTTTTACTCGCATAAATTTTCAAAGAATACCCGTGAACGTCAATACGATATTACTAAACATATTTTAACAAAAACAAAATTATAAAAATGCTATATTTTTACAACAGTGCGTCCGCCGTCAGGTTAGTCTGAGTTAATCTCCATGTGATTTTGGTGAAACTAAATCGTTTGTAAAAACTAAAAACAGTTATACATATAGATAACTCAAATCCTATAAGCAAACGATAAAAGTTTTCTCAAATTTAAATATTGGGATTAATGTAGATAATATTTTAAATGTAAAAAATAAATTTAAGATTAAAAACGCCCACAATTAAAAATATCCACAATATAAGTCTCCAAATAACTACCAGTGGATCATACTGGGCACTGAACTACTAACTACAAGAAATAATCTAAAAATGAACAATTCATTTTATTTATTAATGAAGTATGATATACATATTACAGTAATATAATAAAATATATTAAGCAAAACTACTACTGTTTAAAATTTGAAGATAAATACATCACACTAAAATTAAATTATTCTACATACTTATTGAAACAACTGAATAATATAATAATCGTTAAAAAACTTTCACTTATTAATTATATGCATTGTATTTCAATTTTTTGTACCATAAATTATGAATGCATTTTTTAATTATATATTAATATCTTATATTTTTGAGCGTAAAAGATTTTTAATTTGTATTTGTCTCACAAGTAAAAACGTTTTTTGGATACTTCTGACTTCTATAATCAATTTATTGTGTACTAAAACATAATTTTCAAAATGCAATTTATTTTTATTTAATTCTAATTTGTACGTTTTTAGAAAAAATTAAATTACTATATGTTTATAATAATATATCAAAGGTATATATATTTTTTTATATATTATCTATTTTTTTTTTTTTTAATATTTACGTCAAACAAGTAAATTTAATAGATTGTCTTTGGATTACCCTTCAAATTCAAAATGAATCTTTAACAAGGACAAAAATATAGCAAAATTATTGATAATATTCGAAATGTAATCTAAATTCTTCCTCGGAACTACTGCAGTCGGTTGTCCAGTCGTCGTGAAAATTATGATATTACTAATATAGCGTAACCCAAAAGCAAGCCATTTTGCCGCCGCTTCTAGTCCACGGTGATACTTATGTCTTGCGAGTGACCGTTCGCCTCCGCGGTCAACTTTTGTACCGCGACTATATATAGGCGCGTCTCGAGTGTTTAGTAGCACGTTTTTGATATTTAGACTGTATGTATACATATCAATATTATATAATATTATTATTTACGTATTATCATTATGGATAATACAATTTGTTTCAACTGTAGAACAATATTGTTATTTTTTATTTAAAATCGTTTTCTAGTCATATTGTATAATAATATTATTAAGTGTTGCTGTTTGTTTTTGTTTTTTTTTTTTTTTATCTCTCTTTTTCTCTTTCTCTTTTTCTCTCTTCTATGTACCTTTGTATAATGACAATATACATATTATACACGTCATGACGATATGTCACACATTTTGAAATGATGTCTGTCTCCGGACGTTTGTCCGCGCATATCATATACGAAACATCATCATATCGATTGTACGCGACGGATAATACGCGTTCTCGCGCAAACGTTTATAATGATATATTATGTTATTGTCACATCCGTACATAACGCGTGTAATATTATTAAGATTGTCGTTATATCGTTGTTATTAATATTATTATTATATGGCGCCGTTTGCGACCGGTCGGTGGACGCAATACTGATACCTCGCCGAAAGAAATCGATGATTTTCGAAAATTTCGAACGTCTCCAGACGGTAACCTATGGTGTGAGCAAACGATTTAGTTGCGCGTCCCGACCGGTCGTCTGTACTCATCATATGATAATATTATTATTATTATTATTATTATTATTATTATATAATATAATACTGGTCCCGAGTACTTTTTGGCCGGGCCGGAAACCGTTTTAAAATATAGATTTTTTGGATTTTCTTATAGCGTCATCACTACGATACTGATATTTTTGTTAACAATTTGTTTAAAATATAAAAAGTATAGTGACGTGCCTTGTGCGTTTGTGTTTTGCGTGCACGACATGCAATTACAAAAATCAAAAATACCTGAGTATGTGTTATGTGTATTATCATTTTTCATATTACCGTACCTATATATATTATGAATAAAACACTTAGGTGTTTTTTTCATCTTTCTGACACTGTATTAACTTAACTCACGTGTAGTTTATTGAAAATTATAAAAATTATAGTCCATAATCGCTCAAAGCCTCGAGCTTTTACTATATATTATTATATTATGTTATACGACCGACCACCAAACACGTGCCTCTAGTAAACCAAAGGATAGAAATGAATATGTGGCGCTATCTATTAGATATATTTAAATCAATTTTTTTATAAAAACATGTCACCGCTTGACAGAAGTTTCATAACGAGTATTGCCGTCCGCTGAGTATAATAATAATATTATGTATAAAGTATATAATAATATGTATTTACATTTTTTTAAAGTTTGTTTTTATTACACAAAAGAAAGTATAGTTTTTTTTCTAGAAAAAATAAATAAGTGAAAAAAAAAACATAAAAGTAGGAACATAAATTTGACAAATATTTTTTTACAATATTTCGCTTAACATAATTAAAATACTTTTTTCATTATAATAATTCTATAGCATAGTAATATAATATGAATTCTTCTTACTTATATAATAATATAATATAATTTAATGATTTATAATAACTAACTATAATTACAGTAGGTATTCTAAATTGGTTTTGTGTTTTCTTCGAAAAATAAAATACAATTATTAAACAATTTGATATTTTAAGCGCTCTACTTAAACATTTTTTTAACAATATTACTAAGTATAATTAATATCAATTAATAACATATAATATATGTACGACAACCAAGATGTATAAAAGAACGTTGTTCTCTCTGTCACTATGGCATGCTAAATAGCTTACGTAGCAAAGCCGCTTACGGTTACGCGCAGCTACTATAATATAATAGTATATTATTATCACGAATGAAGAGAAAAAAAATCGTCAAAATTCGTGCTTATACGAAAACACACTACAAATAAATAATTATAGGCCAATATCGAAATATGAGCGCCATCGATAACATTACTCTGTAATCTGTTTTCTGGTACTTAAATTAAATCGCAGTAAGTATATTACAATGTAAACGCCGGCGTTTAGGTTTTGAAATATCGGCCGACCTCAGTTAGATTAATCGCGATCGTACAAACGAACTGATTAAATGTAAATTTAAAAAAAAAAACCATTGACATTATGGTAAAAAGCTTATATAATAATTATTATGCGACGACCACCCGTCAAATGGTAGAGTCGCCGGGTCGGAGTTTGTTGTAGTCACTTAAACAATAAGTTAATTGTTACTATTATTATTACCTAGTATTTTTATAATTTAATTAAATTTTATATAATAAATTTGCATAAGAACAAAATTCGGCTGTTCAAGTAAAATACTATTTAGTCGGTCGACGGTAACGTGGAAACGGTCTTGTCAGGATCTGAAACAATACCAATAAATTATTTTAAAACATTGTGCAAAACATTAATATAATATTATGATTATTTGTATTGTACTTAAAAATGTTCGCAAAATCAAAACTTCCTGTAAAGAAAAAACAACCAGGCGTTAACCCCTTTCTTTGTTTGTAATTTGAACTTAATTCGTTTCTTTGTTGAAAACATGCAAATTTATGTATACCTATCGTGAGACGGAATGCTAATATTAAATTATTAAAATGACGGAGGTCATGTTCGGGTTGAATTAATTCGATAAAAATAAGATAAACCAAAACTCGGGAACCCGGCTATTATTGTAAATAATCATAATATCTTTAACATACCTCCTATTACTCAATTTAATACAATAAATATGTACGATTTGTCGAACGTTATGTTATATCAGCGAAATATTATGCTGAAAATTTGTAAGCTAAACAATATATTTTAACAATTTCGATTAATTAAAATGATAAAACATAAGTAACCATGCATTGAACGTACATAATGATAATTTGCTGTAGATTTTTTTTTTATTCGTTCAATAATATTATTATTATATTATTAGTCGGTGTGATCAATACGTAGATATAGGTAGTGTAAACAAAAAAATTAGTTTGAAACTTGCCGATAATGTAATTATTCTATTTAAAATAAAAACGTTAAATTGATAGTCAACAACACTTTTATAAATTAATTTAAAATGTTATCGAATAATGGCATCACGTTATATTATAATAATTGGTACACGCGTACGTTTTATTTAGATTCAGACGTAAAAATTAAAATGATTATTATATAATAATTAAGTACCTACCTAGATGATGATGATTTAAGATACCTAACGTCATTATGCACCATACATAGGTAAAGATGTTTATTCAGTGAAATTCTTTGATGTTTGATCACGTAATAACTAATATTATCATTTATCAGATCTGTGTATCTCAATGTGCGAGAAGATTTATGTTCCTAATAACGTCTTGAAAAAATATTATTTCATTCCTATGCGTACCAAAATGTATAATTTCCAGCCCCTAAATGTACAATTATCAAATGATTTATTAAGGTAGTTTTTCTTTCGATTCGTTAGAAAATACATATTAATATAATTTATATTTACATAACATCTCAATCGGTATCACTCTATTAATTATATTACCAAGCGGTCTAAATTTAAAATGTTAATCATCTCCCGTTATCGAACCCGTATATTACAGGTACACGTGTATAAATAATTTTATTATATTATATTTAATATGCAGGCGACGTAAGACTGTTAATGCATTACAATAATTTATGTAGGTAAAGAATGTTGATATTATTGTTATTATTTGATTTGATATTATTGTGAAGAATTTAACGTCAAATTGTTTATGATCTATGATGTTAGTGTTGTACCTATGATGATTTTGTCGGTACGGGTATATGGGTTATAACTTATAAGTTATAACTGTGTATAATTTAACACAGTAACTACCTGCCAAGGCGTTGTAAAATAAGGATATTTTTGTGTTATACACCGACTAATTCATTTTGATTATAATCTAATGTATGCACGACGCAGTCGGTTCACTCGACAAGCATTTTTCTTTGTACACATCTTATTAAACCCATAATTTAATACGTTTTATAATCCGGAATGACGTAGGTATAGTGTCACAATAACGATTGCGAATACTTTTAATTGTTATTCTTTAGGTTAAATTTTTAGCAAACTTCTATTTTAAATTAATTGGTTATATTTTGTGGTGTTGAAATTGTTATTTTATTTACTCAAAATTATCTTTCAACTAATTGTTATAATCATACTGCATTACACATTAAATAGTTTTATTAAACTTAACAATACCAACAGTTATTTATTAATTATGAGTACTTTTATTACATACAATAAATAATACATATAAAATTATTTACGATTATGAACAATCCCACAATAATAATAGTTTTCAAGATTATTTTTAATTATTTATAGTTTAAAAAAATGTGTAATGTAACGTTATTAAATTTTTGTCTGTGAAAATGTTTTAATTGTACTGTCAAACTCTTTATTAAAATATTTTTTTCAAAAAAGTTGTATAAATATATTATTTTCATCTTCGTTCTAAATAATCAACGTGTTAGATCAATTTATTTTTTTACTTTAAACAAATGACCTTTTAGTGCCAGGCAGGTCATGACTTAACTCAAGTGAATTATTTTTGTCAGCTAGGCCTGCACTCCAATTATACTCATCCCTCGTGATATCATCGTACATAGTAATAATAATAATAATAATAATAATAATAATAATAACAATAACAATAAATTTATTAGTATCGTAGCATTAATAATTATGTATTATAATACATTTAATTGTAAATACTGACCATTTCGAACCGTCGGTCAGGTAAACGCGCGGCGACTACCGCAAAGTTGAAGGTGTAAAAAAACAATGACTAGCAACAACAAATAAGCGGAGTCTACTGCACGGGATGGATTTGAGGACGCGGGTCAGTATGTGTGGCATCCGGTCATAGTCCTCCAGTCCGGTAGCGACACACCAAGGCGGCGACAGTTGTGTGCGTAAGCGGTCATCGCCTCACAATAACACTTCCGGCCGGTGGGACACTCGCACATGTCCGTCAGACAAGACCTATATAGTGTGTACAAATGCGTTTTCAAAATTTAGTTTACATACGTATAAATAATATACTAGAGAAAGCATTATTAAATAAATAAGAAGATTGCTACCCCCCCCCCCCCCCCAAATGATAATATCTAACAAACATTTACGACTATACATATATACTGCGTATAAAACAAATTTAGTGAACTAACCTGAAAAAGTTGACTGGATTGAGCTTTTTATGACATGCGGCAAACATTCTTTGTCGGAGCGGCTTACACATCCGTTCTCGAATTCGAGGACCCTTTTTGGAGCACTGTGACGTTTGCACAAACGCAGGTTTCAGCGGCCGACTGCACGCGTTCTTACCACCCACGCGCCATGACGACCCAAACGCTTGGGCATCCGACTCTACCCGGCCGTCCTTGGTGGTCATATCGTCTCTTGGCACAGAGTTGAAATTTCCACATAGTCCACATAAACTGCCTGTGAATAATTGGAAATGAAACGATTATTTATCATATTATAATAATAAGTTATTCTCGTAGATGTTTTGACGAATTTCCTTACCTTTGTACCTCGATGGTACGGACACTTCTAAAAATCCTCGGCCGTCCCAAATAATAGAAACGCCGATTCTGGTCTCAACCAAAACAGTATCGTTCATATTAGATATAGTGAGCTCGTTGCTTCTCTTGTACGGCACGGAAACTCTCTGTCCGTTGATCTTGATACGTTTATTCTCGCCAAGGTTTACTTTCAAACCTCCGGTCTACGTGAACAAAGTACGTGTTAAATAAAAATATGATATCTTTTATTTTTTAGTTTAACTATACTAGCAATTTTATGAAAAGGTTTATACAAAGCACCATCGTTAGTATCTAAAAATAATGAACACAATAATATTACCCTCAATGAAATAGTTTTTGTCCATGCTGAATTTTTCGTGTTCCTCGCGTCGTTGGTTACCCGAATGCTAAAGGTCCGCCCCACACAATCCGCACTCAGCAAATATTTGCACGGTCCTTGGAAGCTAAAGAATTTTCCGTCGTATGTCCTGTAGTGTGGGTCGCCAAACACTGTACACACTCCGTCCACTGAAACAACAACAATGAACACAGTATTAAGATATGTTATAATATAATCTGTATAGTATTCTGTTACATTATCATTTATCAGTATAGACACTAACGAAATTAAACGAATCGGTCAAATCGTTTTCCTCAAGAAAAAAATCTTTTACACGTATAGGCACGCGGTGGACTTACTTGGTACACAGCGGGGGCAACACGAACCCGGAACTGTTCGCAGCTTCATGTTGACCGGGCACGACGACGAGATTGGCGGACACAACTCTTGGGCACACTGCACTTGACCACGAACGCACAAACACGACTTGCATTCGTCCACTTTCCAACCATCTCCGTTCTGAAATGAACAACATTTATTAAACGTCTGCTAGTACGGATCGAACGATCGATAGATCGTGTCAAAGCAGTATAATGTGTACTTGTATAAAATCTTCTGAGACCGAGTCGTGATTTTTGTTTAATACACACACTATTTAATATCATAATAATACCCACCATGTAAATGTTGCCATTATCCATGCACGTGTCGCTCTTGTCCACGGTCCTCGGGCACTGCGGGCAGCACTGGTTGTGCGATGCGAACGTCTGTTTCTCCACGGGACAGTCCAGTGGTGGGCAAGTCTCCCGTTTGCATACCACCGTCGAGTTGGCGCACATGCACTCGGTGCACCGGTCCGGGTGCGTCCCCTGGCCAGACGGAGTGATCTTATCGCCTAACAAACATGCTCCTCTAGGTGGGTCCATCAATTTTCTACTCTTTCCTGCAACAGACCAATATTATCGTTATAGTAAATATATGAAGATCCAGGGCTATAGTCAAATAAACAATAGAACCAAATTAATTTACTTGTTGACCTAAGTTATAAATAGTAATAGCTGGTAAATTAAGTATTTATTTGCTATATTGACTATATTTAACTCAACTAAAATACAATAAGATGAAAAAAAAATGTATTGATTTACTTTTATTTGAAACATTGTATACACGGCACTGTAAATGATAAACATACAGTTGTAAACTATTCGTAGGAATATATTTTAATAATATTATATATTATGACTTAACTAATGATATTTTATAGTAAAATAGAAATAGTATAAGAGGTGAACATTTATATCAAAATTTGGTTCGAATTAAAAAACTGTGAATGAGTGTCCAATAAGTTTTTCGGTTTTTAATCATTGAACAATGATAATGGTTATATAATATTATATAACCTACGCTTCGATTACATATTTTGTTCGAAAAACTTTAAAAAGTTTAAAACTGTGAAGATTAAGTGTATGTACTACTCAGAGACTTACGAGCATATTATGAACGTTGTCCAATATAATATTTTGACAGTATTTTTATCGTTTTGGTCATTTTATATTATAAACGATTTAATTGTATATATGTCTGCGAATAAACGACCGTAAGCTATATACGCTTGTCATGGTATAAAATTATTTTATTGAATTGTTTGGGTCAGCTCGATTATTTAATATTTCTTACACAAAAAAAAAAAAGACTCGTCCGTAGTTGATCTAAAAGAGTCTAAAATACAACCCAAAACCATAACACGATCGGTTGGTGTTTTTCTACTGTCTTTATTATTTTATACTACCGCGAATATCCGTAGTTGTCAGACGTTTCCGTCCGGTACGTCGTCGTAACCCGGTTATTATATTATTATGTACTATAGTATTATATTTTATAATGAAAAATAATAATAAAAATATTACATAATATTATATACGATGACGATATGATGTGGTTTGAATGTCTGATACGGATTTTGCGCACATTTCTAACAAAGATCGGATAAAGTTGTAGTATTTTTCTTTTTTTTTTTTTTAATTTTTTCTGCAAATACTTTTGAAAACAAGAAATGCAATATTATTATTATCGAGGAAAAAAAGTATTATATTATAGAAATCTTACAACAAATTTTAAAACAGACTCACTATTGTAATGGAAATTCGAGACAATAGGTCCCGACAAAGTCTTTGCTAGTGCTAAAATGTTTTGTATTTCAACTGTTATAGTGTAAAAAATGTAATATAGTACACATGTTATTATATTATTATGATTATGATGTACCACTGACCACGTAAAGTGTGCTTATTTTTTTATTGCTTTAACATTTTTAATACATTTTATTGACTTTCCCTATATCTGACGATATCGTATAAAATGAAACAATTTCCTAAATTTTATCCCAAAATGAATTAAATTTGTGGTTTTCAGGTATATTTTTTTAATTTGTCATATTATATAATGATACTATCGTCGTTATTATTGCAATACCTTTCAGATGTAATATAACATTGCACATTCAATTGTTTCGCATCGGGCTTAACGTCTAATTAACTTCACTTACCCACACATCTGGGGCAGCATTCACCCGGCAATATCTGCATACTGCTGGATGGACACTGGAGCACAGGGCACGCCTTTTTCGAACAGGTGAGCACCGGTCCGGCCGCGGATCTCTCGCAGTGACAGGTCAGACACGGGTCGTCGTACAGGCTGATGTTCTTCCAAGCGGCCACCTCTTGCCCGATAACCCGGCAACCTGTGGAACGCAAAACCGGTTACCGCAATCGCATAGATTATAATAATAATATTATTATTATTAACTGTCTGCCATCGACAAACCCCTCTTCAGAGCTCGAGTTATCGATAACGGATTTTTATTTCCAGCGAAACCGACGCCGTTTCGCGTTTTTCTCGCAGTGTTTGTTTAATAGGTACACTATATTATTATTTATTACACTTCTATACTATTAGAATATGATGTTTCACCAGTTTATTTTGAGTAGAAGTCATATTATCGGCAACTTTAACAACAAAAAAATACTAACAACGCTTTTTCTAATGTATCTATGTGCATATTACAATGAACAAAATTCTATAAATAAAAAGATCTACGAACAAAATAACAATATTGTTTCACAGGTGTTTCAAAAGTATACGATCAAAAAAGTAGATATATTATATATATATATATATATATTATAAAAATATTATATTGTATGCTTATGTATCAATCTTTAGTAATTTTATATTATTGTAATTTTATTGATACAATATTTTCAATACTAAATGTTATGATATATTATATTGACTTTTTAAGCATTTTACGATTAGTTTCAAAAATAAATAAGTTGAAAAGCATCTTTTGTAAAAGCTCTGAAACGCTACTAAAGCCTGCAAAACTGGTGAGTAAATATTAATTTAGATATATTGAAGTATAATAATACTATGGTTATCAATAATTCTACCACATACATTTTGGTATACATACCTACCTAATAAACTATTTTAAAATTAACATATTATATTACTCTACAGGATTGTGTTAATTAAGGTGAAGAAAAATCGGACGTTGTAATAGACTAAAGCGTTCATTATTTCAAAGTATAATCGATATAAGTTATTAAAGGTAAGGTATGTACGTTTTCGACAGTATATTATATTATTATACAGTACTCAAAACGGGGATGGGCACGACGGCCAACTACTATATAATAATTTATAAATAACGTAAATAAGAGACACTACACAGTACACGCACCGCCGCGGTCCTGTCGACTCACGCACGATAATAGATATCTAACCTATCCTACTGATTTAAAGTACCTACACGTCAATAATGTGTCTTTCCAAAAAAACCCTTGTTGGCTAGATCTATTCGAATCGGTCGACGGTAAAAACATAAAATGGTATATTGTTATGCGTTTGAAAACGTAATACACTAACGACTGTGCGTAATTGACGAACGAAAAAAATATAAAAGAAATTAAATTATAACGATTATATTTTCAAATTTTATATGTTGTTGATCTGATTACGCCGAACATTGACAGCGTTATACGAATTCCACTCAATGACGTACACTGGAAATGTATATGATGAAGCATTTTTTTCATTTCTTTCTCAAATTATCTATATAAAAAAATGCGTAATAAGAATACTTTATATGTGGATTGTATAGTGTGAAAAGTTAATAGAAGGAGCCACTCATTAGTGACACTTTTAATTTGGTTGTTTATTATAATTCTGATGGTTATTTGGGAGCAGAATTAAAGAAGGTTATGACACCATATTCAATTCCAGGGGAGGTAGGATATATGGAAATTTCTTATTAGTGGGTTGTAGTATGAAGTAAAGTTTATTAAAGTATCAGCTCTTGTGAATTTTTGCTTCTTCATCGGTTGTTTTGAAATGGAGGTCGTTGTGGAGCGTATGATTAGAGACATAAAATGGTGCGTTAGTAATTTTACGGAACATGATATCTTGAAATGTTTGCACTTTATTTGTATTCAATTTTTTGGCCGAACTTCACACTTGAAGTCCATTAGACCAGATAGGTTCTAGAAGTGATTTTTAGATAACAATTTTTATTTTCAAATCGGTCAGCCTTTTTCGTATTAAAATAATAGCACTAAACATAGAAGTTATACTAATAAAAAAAATGTATTTTTGTTCAAACAAATTAGTATTTGTATCCAGTCAGATCTATTACAATGGCTTGTGAACGCAGTAATATTTTTTAAATATTTATTTTCAAACAAATAGTTATACTCTAATACAACGTTTTCCCTCAACATTTAAAAAAATAATCTTATAAGTTCATTAAGTTGTCGAAAACGCGTGTCTTTGCAGGTTGTGAATTTTTTATTTCCTTTTACCAATCAAATTATTATGGTTGTCGTCATATTGGAATAACTTGCTAGTTGCATTGTACAATATAATTTTCATCATCATCCCTTTCGTCTATCTTAGTCGTTATCTCGTGTTCCCGTGTTTTCATCGACATGAATCATCACGAATCGCGTATATACCATTGGATCGCGCATCGCGAAGTAATATAATTATAATTATTGCTTTAAAATTATATTTCATTTTTTTTTTTCAGACGAGAAGCTATGCGTCCATAGGTACCATCTAACGAAGGTTCAGAGGATCGTATTGAATTTTTATTTTTTTTCGTTATTTTTTTTTTCAATGCGTGTGGCATCCAGTCTTCAGCCATTAGCCCATCTCCGGCTCGGACGCGTGGTTATCCTCCCCCCACACATACCCCCAGCCAAGGCTTGCAACGTCGCCGCCGCTGTCCAATCGTTTTATCCGGTACGCGTGCAGCGTGCCCCCTGCCCGCTCGTATAATCTTTTATTTGTTTTAGACCCGAACGAGTATAATAAATAATAGGCACGACGTAGGCACCGCCCTCACCGCGTAGTCGCACATCATATAATACATAATATATTATTATATAATATAGATATAGGTCCATAAAGATTTGGACAGTATAATACACATATTATACTTATATCTAATATACCTACATAATAAAGCCGAATATAAACCCAAAGGAGATGAAAAAACAAAGAATATTTTTTGGTATTCTGACGATCGTCATCGTGAACCATAATAAATTACGACCTGAGATGTTATTATTACTATATATATGTGTGTGTATGTTTATAAAACAATATATACTACTTCTAGTATTTATATATATATATTATCTACATCATACCGACGTGCACTGGCGGTACCACCGTCGACGAATATGACAAAATAATGAACGCACGGTCGAAAAAGCAACGCGCGCGCACGATTATATCGTCTGTCTGCCATTCAGCCTAAGTGAAAACGCAGGTACCGCTGGCTATAATATATTAAAAAGTCATTTCTTCCACCGCTGCCCCCCCGTGGGCTGTGGCTCGAGGGTCTAACATGCTCAAGAGTTGTTTTTCGACCAATTACCACAATAAAGTAACTCGGATATAGCTTCATTAAATTGTTTGAAAACCCGTAGCCTAAAGGTTCCAGTCGAATGTGTCTGTTATAACGAAAACATATTTATTAATCAATGTTTAAAGCGATACTGAAAAAATAGTAGATGTCCTTTGGTTATTTTCTGTGCATATTTTTAACAGCACTTAATATGTTATATTGCAATCGTTTTCAATAATGTACTTGTATGATGAATATTTTTATCTCGGCATAGTAAATAATAAATATTATATTTTATGATTTATATAACATATACATTTGGTGTATTTCAATATTTTAATAACACCGTTTCGATCATTACACATTTACATTCATTGTATTATGTAATATAATAATAATATTGTAAACGCTAATTTGGACATTAATATCAGCGGGCGGCGGTTTTGCTTTGAAGTTTCGAGAAAAAACTAATGTATAAAAAACATCTTAATTAATATAATATGTATACCATATAGTGTATATATTCCCTAGGGACTAAAATATTATTCACTAAGTGATTATTCTATTATCAATAATGAATGCTTGGAAATTATCATGTCGGTAACATATATTTATTACAAACTATGCCGTATTGCCGTAGTTATTTCCCAGCATTTTACAATACTGCCCGATCAACAAATCATTAGAAATATTATTTAGGCAGGTATAATTATTATTTAAAAAAATTGAATCCAACAATTTTGATAATTTAAAATGTCCTTCGAACCTGTAACAACGTACCTATATGTATAATATAATAACACAGGCAGGCACATAATAACAATATTATTATTATTATTATACGTGCGTTGATATCGATACGCTAACGATAACCGGTAGCTAAGCACTAAAGCAGACCGTTTAACATGTTTATGTTGTGCACAATGTTCGCTGCCGGTGGTCCTGCCATCCATCTCTTTATCCGTTTGGCGTTCTATGTCTAACCTTAGACGCTACTCCTGTTACCTCCTCTTACTCAGAAACAATTTTCGTTCACGAACGTTATAATAATAATAATACATTATACCTAGCATCCATCCATTGTTTTTTATTATTATTATTATTTGTATGTATGTGTGTGTGTGTACGAGTATAGTTTGAGTGTTATTGTTTTATTTTCATCGGTGCTATACGGAGTTAATGCCACCACATCGTAGCGGAAGAGAAGACGTATAACATGGGGTTCATTTCCCACGAGTCACTTGACGGGCGCTTGTGTACCAGTCGTGATTTATCATGACTGCAAAGCTACCAAAAGAATGGTTTGTTTTTCTAATGCGCCACGAAAGATTCTATTCCAGAGTAATATCGTACCATGCAGTATACCTTCTATAATAATATATTAATAATGTACGTATTAAACAATGCATAATCCAAAACATTTTTAGAGACGAAACTCGGAGGGGAACCTGAAGATCCGTTTCAAATGAATTCGGTCTCATGTTAACTGTCTTATACACGGTAATATACTATATTGTTTTTAATCACTCTCACACAATACCATTAACCGTCTGACTCGGTTCTCTACACATCCTCCCGAGAAAATAAAATATCCGCGTTCGCCATAAAATTATAGACAAGTCGTGCGCACCGACCAATGCAAATGAGAACACGAACTCGGATATTCTATACATACGCAGGAAATAATGTTATTATTGTGTATAACAAATAACTGAAATAACAATATATTATGTACAGCCAAGGTGGACTGTTTTTGTCAGTTATCACTCACCCGAACAAGTTGGGCAGCAAGTTCCCGGTTTCGGCGGCAACGGCTGTTGACAAGGTGTGATACACTGCATTCGGGTCTCCGTGACCACGCCAGCCTTACAAGACATCACCAGGCACGGGTCGTTTGGATCCGTCCACTCGGTTCCGCTTTCCCTCGGCACACCTTTGTACATGCAACCTGGGACAAATGACGAAAACACAGTTTTATACATTTTATTATTGCTGTAAAAATTGCAATCCTTGACGATAAGATTATACGCGTAACAATAAATTACGGTTACGTAATATTATTGAGATTATTAGAGATTTGTTTTATTGTGATGTTTTGATCGATAACCATAAAATATTATTAAATTAATAATTGGTCAATAATCTCACATTCATCATCTCATTAGTGATAGTCGATAGAATTATCGACACGGATTGCTTCTAATTGTTATTCAACAACGTATTAGTTGTCCTAATACAATCGTATTCGTGTCTTACTTTACGACTATTAGAAATATTTGGGAAATTGAACGAGTACAAGTCGATTCACACGACGATATTATGGTTTATTTTCATATCAAACTCGACGTAACCCCACCTACCTTTACAACGTCTGCAGCATTCTTTCGTGTCCACGAAAACGTCTTGTAGCATATAGCAACCCTGTTCGTCGGGGCACTGGTCCTTGACGCACTCCACGAATCCGTTCTGAAACACAATAATCATATTATTATATGGTCGATTTTCATCATATTATATTATATTATATTATGTAGCACTTAATCGTGTATATAGTTTGAATGAAGAAATTAAAGTAGTTGACGGGCCGTAAATACCATTTAGCACGTACCTATATTATACGCCTGATACAACTAATGATAATTATACGGAAAAATGTACGATATAGATCTTTTGGAATTCGTTTCTGACGCCGCGGCCGCCACCGGTACGCGTGCGACCTTCCTCACGTCGCGGTATTCGATTTATTTATTTTCATTTTTTTTTCTCTCGTGTTTATAAATATTTATATATATATAATTAAACTATGCGTGTATTATTGTAAAACAGTGCGACAGCGACGGGCATGGTCGAGAAGCAATTCGAAGTACGTAACGCGGCGCGTAGATAATATAATTGATTAATCGCGCGATTTACGCACAATCGCGATAACCAAAGCCTCCGGATGATTTACGACAGTATTTTCTGTAATGAGAATATGTGTGTGTGTGTTTGTTCACGTTTTCCTGGATAGAAACGTGGTTCTATATGTACACATTTGTGAACAGTCACCCGGCGAAATGGTGACGCGATAACCGAAAGGACGTTTACGCGTTTCCTATGGAGTAAACGATAATAGTAATAAACGTTTAAAAAAAACGGTGTGATCAGGACGCAAAAACACAACCAACAAGTTTTGGCGTGAACATGCATCATGATGTGACAATAATTAACAGTGATTATTGATGATTTTAGCTACGCCGAGTTTAAAGTGTATGCGTATAATTGTCAGTTTTTTGATAATTCTGTAAAAAGAAAAAGTCCCAGCAACATTTGTTTTGTACTCCTCTACTGGTAAATAAATTATTGTCGCATAATTCAGGGCCTAAGCATTATGTATTGTATTCAAAGTTATAAACAACTGAAAATGTTCTACTTTTGCCTAATAAGTTGTACTTTCAGTGTGCCGCTTACGTTTAAATATTGTCTATAAAATGTTTGTGTTGTTTTATTGTTTTTAAATTGATACCTAAGGAATTTTATGGACTCGCCGAAAAACAAAATCAGTTTTGACTCGAGCGGGAGCGCAGTGCAATGCTTACTCGAATAATAATAAATAGTAAATAATATGCGTTTTAGCGGTAGTGTTCTGTTCGTTTTCATTATAATTTATATTACGAGTTTATTATCATGACGTGTGTACGTATAGTTGCAGTATACGCTATACACACATCATCGGCGGCGGTTATGACGCGTCCTGCGGCGACCTTTTGAGTAGCAATCGCTGCCGGCAGTAAAATAAAAAAAAACTGCCATTATAATAATTAAATCATCGCAAGCTGCTGCACGTGTTTAGTTTTGTTATTATGCGCGTGTATTAAGCTTATAATATTATAATGGATAATATTTTTACTATGCTCGTGTTAAAATCCATCGAACGAGTAGGCTACCTACGTCATATATTAATTTTTCCGGACGGAATAATAATAATAATAATAATAATAATAATAATAAAAATAATAATAATAAAAATAATATTAGGTATTATTATTATTACAACATTGCACACTATTCACGAACACGCACTGGTACGGTCGGTATACGCAGACGTAAACACGGTATATTTATATTTTATTATCATTATTATGCAGGTGGTTTTACTCGACGGCCTAATGATATGATAATGTCTTTTCGGAAGGAGAAGCTGATGCGGCTATGCAACCTTCAGTCGAAAGCGAAACGCGTGGTGGTGTCCTTGCAACTGCGTACCTATGGCTACACCGGCTGAGCAAACGGGGTGCGCCGCGGCGGTGAAAGGACTATATTATTATACGCGTATATTTAATAATATTATATTAACGAGTTTTCCTGGTGAAACGACCAAATTATTTCGGCATTGGGCCACCGGATTCGGTCTGTAACTACGTTTGGACCCGCGGGGCTGATGCTACACAACATTGAATTTTTGGGTTTTTTTCGGGGGGGGGGGGGGTATTGGAATATTATGATCAAAAACTGTTGATTGCAAATCTCAAACTTACCAATTTACAGAGTAGAGAACGTTTTAATGTATAATGGGTTTTTTTTCTATAATACAAAGGAAGAAATAGAACTAATAACTATAGAAGTGCAAACACTTCAGTCACGAGTGTTATATGATATCAATTATTAAATTCAACTTTTTTTTGAATATAGCCTATGATTTTAAAACTAATTGTTAATACTTCAATAAGGTAACATAATATTATTTAAAAATAAAAAAATAAGTATTACATCTAATTAAGTAAACTTTTTCACTAGAATGCAAGACCTTTTAAATAAACATAATATATTTGTAATTCAGTCATAATATTTTGTGTACCTAACTCACACTTGATTTAGTATAGTAAAAATTAAATTGAATATTAACGTTTAATATTTTATCTTAAAATAAAACAAATACAAAATAATGTCAAAAAATTTTTAATATTTATGTATTATAGATTTCATATTATTTATAAATAGGAATCGTTAATAATAAAATATCCCATAAAAAATTGTTTTTAAAATACGTTGCAATACTATAAATGTGTTTTCGTGAAAATAATATTTTTTGTCTCTTGATAAAACAGTTTAACAGGTAAAAATTGTTTATTTTAGAATATTAATCGACTGATGACTGTTGTGTCGGTGTACCTACTACCTATGGACTACGACCTACCTCATACTTTTTACAGCAATATGATTGAATTTGATAATTTTATTACAATACATTGATGTAATTATTATTGTTACTATCACGTTTTAATAATAATAATAATAATTATATAATATATTATATTATTATACCGCTCTCTTGGCTCCGCCGATACGCGTAACTCTGGTAGCGTATTTAATTTTTTTAGTTCGTATCTACTGAGTTTTTAATCGTTTCGGAATTTATTATGCTGTGTGTATTATTTATGTAATTGAGTGTGTATAAATAGTGCGCTTAATAAAGAAATAATATAATTCCGGTTCGTATAAGTATCGATCGTCTACGATAACGATTGCTGTCTCAGGTCAGGTCGCGATCAAGATATGTGAAGATAACGAGTAGCTGAGTAACGACAACAACCTATGTGAGGCGTATACGGTCGAGGTATTAATACCACGGTGTGGGTACACGATGAAGGCTTATCAAAAAAAATCCAGCCAGTCGATGATAGACGTGGAGGGGGAGTGAAACGCTAACTTACACGGTTGATAAATCAAAAAATACACTCATATATTATTATAGGTAGTTACTAGGTATACTGTTGAACGATATTTTCAACAAACGTTTGCAAGACATCCATTTTCTAAGATTTTGTTTTTTTTCAGCGAGTAGTTTTATCGGTGCGAGCTTCTAAGAATCGTATTTGTAATTATTTAACTCCTGTAAACAAGACATTTTTCATAAAAGTATACCAACATAATAATATCACCTGTTGGTCCGCGTCAACGTAAACGCTCTCCTTACTCCGACCCCGCGAAAAAATTCTATTCCAATAATTCGATTAATTAATTAATTATTACATTACAATACGTACGGGTTTCCGCGAAACGCATAGCGTATCACATAGATAGGTACTATGAATATTATAACATATTATAATTTTATTATTATTTCCCGTAACGGTCATCAACCGCTGCTGCGTAACACATAGATACACATTAATAGGAATGCGTAATAATAAAAGCGTGTATAGTATAGTGTTATTAAAATTTGAGACGCGTTCGGCGCGAGACTACATAATGTTAATATATTATTATTATTATAATAGATAATATATAATAATTCGAAAAATAATACACCTGTGCTCCGACCACCGCTTGGCGCGCGAGAGGACCGCGAGTTCGATGGGATCGGCGGAGATCTGGCCGAATGTAGGGTGAGCGGCGCGGAGTGGGCACGTGAGTTTTTTTTTTTATTTCACTCGGTCAAACTGGTTTTGTGCACACAAATTTCTACTACGCGTCGTACACACACGTTTGCGCGGTCGATCCGTCGTCGTCGGATAGTCAATTTTTTATGAGACATACAGGCCGAAACCCGTTCGACGCGCGGGTTTTCCCGAATTTCTTACCCGCCGCCGTGTACATACTATTATCTGTACGAGCGGTATACGATGTGACTATACTATGACGAGAACCGCCGCCGAAATCTTATGACGAGACCCGGGAATTAGGATTTCGGATGGATCGAGAATCCGCTTTACGCGTATTATATGTTATGCACGTTCGTAAGACGATAGAGAGGTTTATCGCTGGGAGACGCGCCGAGAGGTCGGTGAGACGTTCGGTGCGCGCGTAATCGGTTTTGTAACCACCGTTCGTCTTTACGGTCGGATCGACGGCGGTAAAACAACGATGGCGAAGAAGAAAACGGCGGTTGGCCGGCTGTCGTGAATATAAATTAGATAATTCTGTTGGCCGTGGGACCCCGCGAACTTCGCGCGTACAGTACGATATGTATGTATTATAATATGCATTTATATATGTAGGCACGTAACCGCGAATCGAATAGATGATAATGCCCGACGCGCGGACTCGGAAATGTAATTAATTTATAAAAACAAACCGTAAATTGTTCTTTAAACGGGGCGTTTCGACAAACGGACAAGACAAGACGTCTTTCTATAATATTATAATGTGTTATACTCGCCGCTCGCGTACCCGGTTTTGTATTCAGTTATTATTCGTATTTCTTAATGTTCGTTTCTGCCCGAGCACCGGCCATAATACGATATTATAATGTATACTTAGCTGTACAGTGTACATAATACTGCATATGCTCGATGCTCGAATAATATTATGATATTATACGAAGATGCAGGGGCAAAGATGAATATGATGAACTACAGGTCGGATATACTACATATAATATATGCATACACGCGGATATTTATTTGTTGATCGAACTGTGCGCCTGCCCATATAATATAATAATATTATATAGGTGCATTTTATGCATAACTTGTTCTCTGTAATAATTTCTCTTCAACACTATAGATTATAATATTATAAACTTTCATTCATTTACATCTAATAATATATACACGATAAAACAATAAAATAGTGATATTATGTACTCGTATTAGTATAACATAGTATAAACTATAAAGTATAACGTCTAGAAGTTAGTATTTAAAAGTTATATACTTGAAACGTTATTGTAAACACGCGATTAATTTTCGATCGGCTTCTACTGTTTCATATCGATTGTTTTTTATGTTTAAAATATTTGCTATTTTAAATTACTGCCATGTAATAAACCCATATTGAAAGGACATCTATACGTGAACGTTAACTAGGTATTACTATCAATATAATGCATAGCTATACCTATATGCTACAAGTTATAACTTATAACATACATTTTTTAACGGTTTGTTATATTGAGAAGACGTGTGGCCTGGAGTATGTGTTGTTTCAGTTTTATAAAGTGGACATGTGTTCTTCCTCATATGTTTATTTAGCAAAATTTATTTCGTGTTGACGAGTTGTTCGTTTAATAATAATATTAGAGCGAATCGACTAATTATCAAATAAAGCTAAGAATATTATCCAGATTATCTCACATAGAATTTTATTGATATTTGAATTTTAATTTAAACAATAAATATTTGTATGTGCACAGGTGGTTAGATATAGACAGAAAAAATCTTAAAGCTACGGGAGTGTAAAATTGGAAGGAAATAGTTCAACATCGGAAAAAATAGAGGCATATCATGATGAAATAACTGTATGTAAAATATTACAATTTTAAAATGCCCATAACTAGATTTAAATTTTAATCAAAAACAAATCCTACAATATTTCAATATTTCATAGATAATATTTTAAATCACATATTAAAATTTGATGTTTCATTGATTCAATTTAATATTCACGCTATTTTCGACACACAATTAGTTGTGAACACACATAATTCGTAAGACGGAGACAATACGTTACGATGTTTAGCATTTTTTTTCAATCTATTTTTCTTTTATTCAATAAATATATTTTATTCTATACTCTATCGGACTATCAAATTAATCCTAGAATATGTAAAACGATTATTATTAATATAGTAGGTATGTACTTTCTCAAAATTATTGTAATAACAAAAAAAATTAAATTATGAATAATAGTTCACTTGTAGGAATATTTGATACAACTTTGTGAAAAAATATTAAATAGTGTCGTCACAAACTTGTAACAATCAAAATACAACCCTCCTTCTTCCTCTCCTCAAGCAAAAAAAATGAAAAATCGGGTGATGTGGTGACACTCAGGAAGGTATTTTGAACAACTGTGAAAAAAATTGGAAAAATATTAAATAGTTTCGTCACAAAATGGGAACATAAAAAGGTTTGTACTTTTATATATATAAGGATAAAAGCTATTTATATTCATATGAATTACATATTGGTATACCTATTATTAATGCTTATTTTAATTATAATGATATATTACATTGATAATTTATTGTGTTTTGCTTTTACTTTTAAATACGCATGACTATTGACTACGTAGTAAAGAAAGTTTTACATTTTGAATTACGATTATTATTATTGTTTTTTATTGTAACTGAAAGAGTACATATGAATCGCATCCGATCATCTCTAGTCCTACATATATATAGTCGTTACGAGCAGTCATGAATAGATAGAAAGGAATTCGTGATCTATATATTATTTGTTACGCTTGCAATATTGATAAACGTATAATCCGAGTTTTCGATTTATATTCTTAAACATAGAAGTTGATTGAAAAGTTTGAAACAAACTTTGTATAAAATCCAAGCCCTGTAACGAAATTTTATGAGTGTGGCAAATGATAAATGACAATTGAATTAACTTCTTTTTCGCGCGCGCTTCAAAAGGCGATTACGCAATACCGAAAACTGTTCAACGATTTGAAACACAAAATGTCGTCAAATTTGTCAATATTTTTTTTTTCTTTTTGTGATCGTAACACTGTATTTTATTTCCATTTATTAGTAACAATATGCATTTAACCTCGAGGGTGTTATTAAACAGTAATAATTTTAAATGGTACACGATAGTGTGATAACGACAATATTTGTGGCAAACGGTTGCGTATAAAACGAGTTTAATGACTACAGCCTTGGCATATGCAAAAAAAATACGGCCATCCATGTCCCATGATGTATCGATATGGGTTATTTATAATTTTTAGCCACGTCTTCGTCAACGTCCAAAAATGTGTATAGTTATCGATATCTAGGTATATTATGTTAAAACATGTTATAATAAAACAATCATCACAGTTTTCAAAATTGGATAGTATTGGTATTAATAAAATAACAATATACATATTTAAATAAATTGGATATAACGTCATATAATAATATAACTAATTTTCACTCCGATTGGTCGATTTCTGTTAACAATATCCATCGTACAAGTACACACACGAGTAGGTACGGTAGCTAAAATGTTATATTAATATAAAACACTCATCCCCGTATATTGTGTCACACAGTCACACTAAATTACGACAGTTATCACAGCAAGGTATTAGCTTGACATATCGTATAAAGCACTCGCCAGCTGTATAATTTTTACATATATGTTAATATGTTAGTAAGTATTCAAGTATTGTGTAACTCACGCGATTTAATCAAGAAATAAACGATTAGTGTTTTTAGTGATTTAGTGTAGTGTTTACCGGAATTTAACAGTATAATTTAATGTTGTATAATAGTCCGATACGTGGGATTTTGGCCTTTGGTGTATTTAAACTTTAAACCAAACCACAAATTATTCTGTAGGACTATCGTATCGCGTGTCTCCCGAGTCTCGTTATTATGTTTATTAGACTATTATTTATTATTATTAATATGTGTTTCAGTTTTCAATTGGAACGCACTAATAGTAATGATAATAATAAATAATATTATTCGCAGAAGTATACGTACTCATTGGTATGACTTACGAAACCGGCAAAATGTAAATATAACATGTAATGCAAAATGCATTATATTACTAACATTTAATTTATACGTTAATGTATTATTATAACATTTATATTTTATCGAAGAGTAGATAATATTTATTTTATGTACATATATTATATATATACATATATATATATAATGTACGCCTATCTGCCTGAGTAATAAATTATTTACTCTCCAAATTAAAATGCATATAAAATTAGTATAATAAATATAAATAATAATGCAAGTATATTGTTATGTTATGGCCATATTAAAATGTTAAAAACCATTAATGATGTTTCCGAAGGGAATGTATGTCTAATAATTTAATGTCACGATACGGATAAGACTAAAGAGCGTTTTTTATGCGTATCGATTGAACTATTTTGGAGTTTTGTGAACACAATATTTCTTCCAGTTATAGTTGCAAGATAGATATCAAAATAATATATTACTACAGAGGCCTATAATAGACCTATTGGCTATTCCTTTTACAATATAGCGTATAATAGAGTACCGATAGTAGTTGAACGATATCGTTCGATTCGTTATTGATTGCAACATCTATATAACACTAAATCTTTTCAACACAAATAATAATTATTTGACGATTTGTGTACATATTATGCATATTAATATCGTTTAAATCTGAAGTTTAGTTAGTTTATTTTCATTAATTTTGGTAAATGGTGAACAGCTATAGAAATATTAATATACATACGTAATTATCAACAAAATATTGAAATAATAACATGAAGCTTGTTTTTACTCTCAATCGATTTCTATAACAGGTAATAAGTAATTTGGTAGGTACCCAAATTACCTATTAGTTAATAATTTCCCAAAAATGGAGTTGTACAATTTTTAACATTTTAAAATCAATTTTTAACTTTCGTAAGTTATTACTCATTTTTTGTTTAATAGATAGAATGACTCGATTACTTAAAAATGTAGTAGTGGTAATTATGTTTTAAAATTTAAATCTAAAATAATTGTCGTAATTTAAAAATATGCAAGTTGTGTTATCTTTACACAGTAATATACACTTATAATAAGTAAAAATTTAAAACTTAGTACAATACTTTGTATATTAATGAAGAAATGATGAAATATTGCATTTCCATGTATTTAATGTATATTATTATACAGATACGATACTCATATAGTCATATTATTTTAGTCTAGTACTGAACACGTGCGGACAGATAAAATTCAAAGTGCAATGATATTCAAAATCAACAAGTACCTAATCTAACCTATATTATAATATACACGTGTGTATACTTGTGTTTATTATAACATAACTGTAATACAAATGACTTGGGTGACCGGGTGAGCAAAACGGCGGTGGCAGCAGTGGTGACGCCGGCGGATTCCGGACGGGTTATCTGCACACAGTGCTTTGGGCAAGGTAGTGTAACCCAGTTTTGAGAAATGGAACTTTCACCGTCGCGAGCTCCGTTATTATTATTATTAATATCGTCGTTGAATTATTATTATACGTATATTCCCGTGCAGAAAATTGAAAATTATACAACACTTAATGCATATACTTCAAAACTGTTATCGATTTGTCCACTTATATTAGGTATTTATAATAATATAAAATAAATTAGAAATACTAGATATAAATGCCCATGTACATTGTACATAATATTATAGGTATAAGTACTCACTTTACACATGCAAGTGTAACACATCATGTTTTTGATGGTGAGCACGTTCACAATCTCTCCTTCGTTCACACAGCTTTCGGCGTAACCTGTAACACAAACAGTAACTATATTATTTATTTATTTATTATTATTTATTAGTTAGAATTTCCAAAGATATAATAATTACACGTGTATCAATGTATGTTATTATAACATTATACGTATTTGTAGGTCTATAACCGCACGTCTACATGCAACTGATGTTATGTTTTTGCAGCTGTGGTGGAAGAATTTATTATAGGGCGAATGATTTGAAATATTGTCACAAAAACAACGAACTCAATGCATGTAATCATATCGTTTAATTACAACTACATAATATTATTGTGTAATTATGCAGACACCATTTTATTTTATGGATGAGTTGTATTGAGTGTGGTCGTTTTGTTCAAAGTGTTTGTTTACATACAGGTTTATTTAAACATATTCAATTTGTGATGTTTCTTGTATCTTATATTGATCTAACAATATTAACATTTAACTGAATACAAATTCAATATTAACTACGAGAATTCGATCAGTACACGTCACACATAAAATTCTATTTAAGAAGGCATCTTATATAAACATAGCAAATGTTAGAGCCGTGCTACCTCATATCATTTGATGAATTTTATCATAATATTATAATATCAGTGTAATGTCTTGCATGCGGCAAAGTGTAGCCGCAGTATGACATGTCGACGTAAATAGTTTTAAGTGTTTTAACCATCTAAAACTCGATCATTCACACGGCAGATTGATTTTGTAAAGTAACGGCTCGGGGACACACGGTGAAACTCAAAAACTAACCTGACCTAAGTATAATTTCATATATTTTATATACAAGCTCTGTTTGCCGAACAACGATGCGACGGGCGCATTCTCGGCGCCCTTAAATCCAATAATAGTTGGTGCTCCGGGACGGGTGTAATAAATTTATGTCGTGTAATATATTTTTATATATACATCACTGATAACAGCGTGTAACAGTGATACATACATGATACATATACAGTATTCGTGACTCGGCGGCCGTATACCCGAAACGGATTCGTCGCAATAAATTTCCTGGCACCGGTCCGCGGACCTCTGTTCAATGTACGTCTGCCCCAAAAATCCGCAGAGTGAACAGATTTTTTTTCCGCTCTTGCGGATTGACGTCCGCCGTTGTTTATGCGTACCTACTGCACAGACGAAGTTTTCGGTATTTTTTCCTCCTCCTCGTCGTGATTCGCCCACCTCCGCCGTCGGATCGCGGTTAATATAACTTACAACTCGTCGTGTTTATGTGCGCGTGTATAATATAATATAATATATACGCTGAGTGATTGACCAAGTAAGCGCTCAATCTTGTTTTTTCCTTTTATTATGTATTTATTTGAATTTTGATTTGTGATTATGTAAATTTTCAAAATTTATAATTTAACATTAAAAACGATTGTAATGTTGAATGCTATAAGTGGAAGATCATCATAATAATATAGTTTCCATATATTTTTAATTTATTATTATTATTATTATTAATGTTCAACGCATAATTCATTGATAAATACTACTTTTTTGAATTTAGATTAATTATGTTGATTATGTATGCTAACAAATAAAAATAAACATTAAAAAAGTGCTTTAAAAATAGTATCTAATGCCATTTCGGCACAATATTCCAAAAGAATCGAACTTTGAAGCTATTAAGTCTTTTGAAATATTGAACATAACTTTACTGATATCTTTAAAATTATTCAAAAATCTGAATTTGTATAAATTTAGCACTTAAGGATAAAATAGGGGTGAGCGAACCATTTTGTATTTATGTTTAATTAATAATGCTTGGAAAATGTGATCATTAGTTTAAACGAGATAGAAATTCCTTTATTCTTTACGTATATCAAATATAAACAATTCGTGTTACTTTTGAAGGTGATGACTAATGTGTTAAACGAAACAATCTTGTATTATAAATCCGCAAGAAAAGAAGAATATAATATTGTTGTTACAACAACGTGAACGAAATAAATATCATATAATATTGTCGTGATTACTCGTTATAATATCCATTATCGACATCGATATATTCACATTATACATGTGAATATATAACGCATTGTAGATTTGCTTATTAACAGACGTTAAATCTTATAACATTTTCATATGATGGCGAAATACGTTTAATTAAAATATAAGAGGTATATGTATCTGTAATAGTGCAGTCTAAATCTCGAGGCGACTCCTTGATGGTATTCTTTTCAAATATTATTTTACCGGAAATATATTAGTAAGCCAAAAACAAGGACAACGTACATCAAGAGCCGTACGAGATCACGTATTATATCTTTATTGTTATTTATTTATTTATATCAACAAAATATCGATAAAATGTATATATATATAATTAAGATGTAAATGATTTGTGCATATAGAAATATTATTATAAATAATAATAGCAATATAGTAGACGCTCTCAATTGAAGTATAGTTATTATATACAAATCTGTTGAATAGACTTCAATCTTGATTCTAGACGATTGTTGCGTCGTATTCAGTGTAAAATTATATCGTGAAACCAATTCAACATAACCATAAACGTGCATTTGCATGAATATATAAATTAATCGATTTCACCAGCTGATCTAGCTACCGTATTACAACCACAAATCAAGCTTATGGTAAAATTATAACTTTTACAAGGTGAACAGCGTGTTTTTTTTTTTTTGCATAATGATGAAATTGCATTTGTTTATTGTTCAAACTAAAAATATAACTATTGAAAAACTCGGTTTACGTAGATCAGAAAAATATTATATTATATTTCCATACGCGCACAAATCTGTGTAGGTAGTAGATACATATCATAATAAAGTATTATTTACTGCTTATAAGCGACCGAAAGCATCATATAATGTATTTATATTTATTGCTCAATTCATAAAACTTTTATCACTTCACTCAATATCCAAGCGTTAAAATCCTTTTATAGTCAAAAATACCAATTATCGTATACATATATGAATATGATATTAGGATATGTTAACCTGTATAGTAATATACTAATATCCATAAAAATCTATGCTATTGATTTCCTGCAGTTGAATGAATAAGTATAATAAATAAATGTATAATTCACCTCTATACTACCTATAACATAAATTTAATCAAACCGTTTCTAGACAGGTATTTTTCTTAGATACTTCACGCACAATTTATTATTCTCTATTTCATTATTAGCCCACAGCAATGTCATTACCGAGTAAACATTTTCAAAATGATTGTTTATTACGTTTTTTATACTGGCTGTTGGCCAGCTGTAGTATTATGTATATATATATGTGTGTGTGTGTGTGTAATATGTTTATGTATAAGTAATAATAGGGACAAATGAGACACGGTTGTCAATAGAGAAGTCTCGAATTCGAAAGCTATGACATTTATAAATAATATTTTCAATTAATACAATTTTCCTATTGTACGTAATTAAAAGTACTGGTGTTTGCATCTTTAACGAATGATAATAAATTAATAAGTTTCGATCAAATTCGTTTAGAATTTCTCCACCTATCCAATATCAGTGGGTAGATGAGGAAATCGCTCATAGGATTTCTGTTTGTACTTTTATTATCAATTACAATTTTCTTCCTTCATTACTTAAAAAAAAATTATGTCAATAAAATAATCTTATTTTACTTGAAATAATCGCGCTATCATATTTATAGACGATCATAAATGTTGGTAAATCTTCAACAAGAGGAATGCGCCTTATGTATGTCGTCAATTTGTATTTTAATCTAACGTACCATTTGAACACTTAAATAAAAACGCATAATTCACTTCAAAGCTGAAGTATAGAAAACCAAAGATCGCTATAAGTTATAGTCATAATATGGGGTCACCACGTAAATAGTATGAAGAGGAAAAAATATATTATAGACTGCGAATGTAATATCTCTCCAATAACATAATCTTCTAGAGTACTTTGATGAAATGCTTGTAAATAAAATAAAACAATTATTACTGATTTCGGACTAAGTACTACTAAATGTCTACTGATCAACGATTGTTACGTATATATATTATATTGAACGGGCCATAAATTGAATACCGAAAATATAAATATTATTACTTTTTTTTTTTTTACGGTAATCAGAATACAGTCGTTTTCTTGTCGATATACGTAGTATACTCGAGAAAATCATCATGAAAGAAATACATCGTGCAATGTTAATACGTGTAGTATTAATAATATGGATAGTATATTATATGTAAATTCCTTATAAATACGATCGACACAATTTGTATATTTATATATTATTTAACGAGAAAACGGTATAATATTATTATATATACATTATACACACACAAATATAAATATACACACACACACACACACACACACACATATATATATATATATATATATAATGTTTATGCATTATAATTCATTTATCAAACAATCGTAACACGAAAACCCACGAGGACGCCGCCGATGTTCGTGTGTTTTTCAATTTTTTTTTTTTTTACCGAACATCCTTTGTTATTCATATGGTCGTCATCGCGGGCGTGTCGGTTTAGTTGAGGGGTGGGTCGGGTGGAGGGGTATATAGGTATACGCTGGACCATCTACTTCGGCGGTGGTCCACAATCGGCGGCGGCGTCCAGTTACGACCAATCCCGGGGGTTATCACTTAATTCGTTTTTGCCGCCCGCCACGACCGGCCGCCGACGTCAAAAACCCGATGACTTTATATATAATAATAATGACGACGACGATGATGATGATAATAATATAACCACCGCGTGTCCGCGTGGTATCTATCGGTGCGTTAATATATAATAACACGGGACCGGCGAAATATGTTACCCTGACATCGTTATTAATGAGTACCCCCTCTCTCCAACTAGACCTTTTGTCTCATCACCGTAGTCGTACTCCGCACCACACACGCGGCACAATCGTGTAGGTATATATTTAAGTTTTTTTTTTCATCTGAGAAGAACAAACAACACGATAATCATAATAAGGAGAACGAAAAAAAAACTAAAATAAATAGTAAAAAACAACAGACCATCATTA